AGTGACCCCAAACTTTTGAATGGTAGTGTACATTTAACTAGGAATAAATAAACAGTAGTAGCAGCTTATTTGATGAGTCCAAAAAGTTAGTGCAAAAAGGGTCAATGCAGGTAGTCTATGTAGCTTTTTGGGTAACTATTTAACTAAGTATTTAGCAGTCTTATAATTGGGGTTAGAAGCTGTTCAGGGTCCTTTTTGGTTCCAGACTTGGTGCATAGGTACTGCTTGCCGTGCGGTAGCAGAGAGAACAATCTATGACTTGGGTAGCTGAAGTCTTTGACAGTTTTTAGGGCCTTCCTCTGACATCACCTGGTATAGAGGTCCTGACGGGCAGGGGGCTCGGCCCCAGTTATGTAATGGACTGTACGCTCTACCCTCTGTAGCGCCTTGCAGTCGGATGCCAAGCAGTGTCCATACCAAGCGGTGATGCACCCAGTCAAGATGCTCTCAATGGTGCAGCTGTATAACTTTTTGAGGGTCTGAGGGCCCATGCCCTCCTGAAGGGAAAGAGGCATTGTCGTGCCCTCTTCACGACTGTGTTAGTGTGTGTGGACCATGATAGGTCCTTAGTGATGTGGACACCTAGGAACTTGAAGCTCTCGACCTGCTCCACTATAGCCCCGTCGATGTGAATGGGGGCGTGCTCTGCCCTGCGTTTCCTGTAGTCCATGATCAGCTCCTTTGTCTTGCTGACATTGAGGGAGACAAAGGAGCGGATCGTATTGATGCATAATTGGGAAGTTACTATCCCAGAAATTCCCTTATCACGCAAGTGTTCCGGGATACACAAAAGTCTACAGGAGTCCGCACACTCACATTGGGAAATTCCCACCCACAACTGTGCATCTTAAATTTCACAGGAATATAGCAGATCCGATTTCACACAGAAACTCTGCTTATCATGCAGTGATTGTGACATTTTAACATGGCCGCCCCAGTCGGGGCACTTGGCTCTGTGTTTTAATGCTGAGCTTGTCTCCTTGTGAAATATGGATCTAATTATGACACTATGAGTGACTGAGAAGCTACGTCTCTCTGTTAGGAGGAGGGAAGGAAAGGAGAGGAGGAGAGGGTGAGAAGGGAGAAGAGGAGAGGATGGGGAAGGGAGGGAGTGGCACTGATGTGCTGGCTGTTATACCTGAATGGCAGACGACATACGTCCTTTATTTATCCTCCACCCTCTACCCCGCCATCCCCTGCATCCCCCTCCTCCACCCAGGCTGGGATGCTGTTCCCTGGGGAACAATGCTCATGACTCTCACTGCCAGACTTCCACAGACGCTGGGGATCATTCAGACCTCAATCTGGGGCCCGGCATGACGCCACATGGGTCTCTGTTATACCATCTCCCCACTGGGAGAAAACAATAGCGAGGGAGAGGGATGGAGAGATAGAGAGAGAGTGAGAGTCGGAGAGAGATAAAGAGAGGGAGAGAGAGAATGAGAGCGAGATAGACAGCCAGATCCTGGGACTGAATAAGCTGAGCCTTGCAGTTCTGTTAGGCAAGGGAGCATGAGAGAGAGAGAGCAAGATAGAGAGTAGGGGAGATGCAATGGACAGTGATAGAGAGTGGGTGAGTGTGAGAGAGAGAGAGAGGCTGGTTACAGCATGCGTCCTCAAGGAGAGAAAGGAGGACAGCAATTACTATATCCAACACCCCTACAGCGACAGCAATAAAGCGGCTTTCTCCTGGCACTGTGTTAGCTAGCCAGCTGCTCCCCTCTCTTTATCTCTCTCTTTCTCCCTCTCCTCTCTCTCCCTCTCTCTCTCTCTCTCTCTCTATCCCTCTCTCCCTCTCTCTCTCACTCTGTCTGTCTCATCTGTTATATGATTGATCCGGTGAAGGATGCTGAAGTTTCGCGCGGACCGGAGGGTGAGGTAGGTAGGGGACAGCGGAGTAGCTGAGTCTGGGGGGAAGTGGACTGTGCTGGGGCTGGCTCGCAGCGTGTTGGGGGGAGAGGGAACCAGAAGCTGGAGGTCAGAGAGGACTGCAATGCAGTGCTGCTGGAGAGAAAGAACAGGGAATCTATTTTATGGCTTTTATTTGGCAGTTGTGTGAGGCAGAGACTGATACAGTAAATAGGATATGTGTATAGGATTGTGTGTGTGTGTGTGTGTAGCTGTGTGTGTGTGTTTGTGTGTAGCTGTGTGTGTGTGTTTGTGTGTAGCTGTGTGTGTGTGTAGCTGTGTGTGTGTGTAGCTGTGTGTGCGTGTGTGTAGCTGTGTGTGTGTGTGTGTGTAGCTGTGTGTGTGTGTGTGTGTAGCTGTGTACGTGTAGCTGTGTGTGTGTGTGTGTAGTTGTGTGTGTGTGTAGCTGTGTGTGTGTGTGTGTGTGTGTGTGTGTGTAGCTGTGTGTGTGTGTTGGGGCTAGTGTTAGTAGCCTAGCAGGAATGGCTAAACACTGCTACCATATGTTTACCCTATATAACGTGAGGGCAGTAATTGGAACTAGTCCATTGTTTTTGTAGTCATTTTGTAGTCCAGTTTGTGGTCATATTAAGGACACTGATGTTACCGTATGCTGTTTAGCCATTTGTTTTTCCATAAGCAGAAGCAGGCAGCGATGTATCTCTCTCTATATAGGTTTGTAGGTTATGCATGAACAGGCATGCTCAGTTGCAGAACCCTCTGAGACCAAGTCACACACACATGTTTGGACCCCAGGAAGAGTAGTGGCTGCCTTGGCAGCAGCTAATGGGGATCCTAATAAAATACAAAAAAACACACAGAGACACACACACACAGAGACACACACAGAGACACACACACAGATCAGCAGCAGCTGTCCCAGTTCCCAGGCAGGCTGTAGGAGGTTTGTCAGTGGTTTGTCAGGGGTTTGTTATGGTTAGCAGCACACAGTCAGAGGGGTGTGTGTATTGTTCCTTTGGTGTCAGGAGGTGCATGCCTTCTGCCTGACTGTGTTCTTGGCTGGCCACCCTCATCCTCTCTACCTATCAGTATGTGTGTGACTTTGTTTGTGTATGTGTGTGTGTCAAGTGTGTGTGTGTATACGTGTGTGCCCAGTGTGTGTCCAATGTGTGTGTGTGTCTGTGAGGAGGAGGATACACAGACTTTCTGCACGACAGGGTCCGGGCCAGATGCCACACACATATTATCATCCAGTAGTGGGTAGAGCCAGAGACAGAGAGAGAGAGCCAGGCTGTGGGGGTGGAGGTGTTTGGCCCTGCCTTACATAGAGCGATGTTCATCAACCCTGGTTCTGGAGACCCCCAGGGTGGTCAGGCTTTTGTTCCAGTCCAGCACCAAAACATCTGATTCAACTAATAAACTAATCATCAAGTTGTTAACTAGCTGAATTAGATGTTTTCAGTGCTGGAACAAAAGCCTGCACAACCTCTGGGCCCAGGAACAGTGCCTTAGTATAATGTACGGCAAAAGACTACCATATGCTGTCTGTCCTCGTCAACTGTTCAAGGCCCTATCTAGTGCTATTTAGAATCTAAAACAGTTATTTGGCTGTGCCCATAGGAGAACCGTTTGAAGAACCCTTTTTGGTTCCAGGTAGAACCCTTTTGGGTTCCAGGTAGAACCCATTTGGGTTCCATGTAGAACCCTTTCCACAGAGGGTTCTACATGGAGCCCAAAAGAGTTATACCTGGAACGAAAAAGGGTTCTCCTATGGGGACAGCCGCAGAACCCTTTTGGAACCCTTTTCTTCTAAGAGTACAGTATATCTATAGGTAAGAAGGGTGTGTTCCTATAAACATCTTTCTGACTCCAGGCCTTTCCTCCTGTCCTAACAATCTTACCAGCCCCTCCTTTGATAAGGCCCTCATGTCTGCGGTCTTTCTTTCAGACTAGCAGCAGGGGAATTCCACAGTCAGCTTTGAGCACACTCCTGTATGTTTTGTAAATCCGCTTAAGAAACAGTCCCTGAGATCAAAAGGGATCCACTGTTATCTTTCACTATACAAAGCACTGTTAGTTTAGCTCCCATAAGGGTACATCTATGTGTACCATATGTGTGTGTGAGCATGTATGTTTTGTCTGTGTGTGCATGCGTGACATGTGAGTGTGTATAGGTATGCATGTAAGTATCTTCATGACTGTACATTACTAGGTGATTAGGGGTTTACATGTGTTTTTGTCAGTGGTGGCTGGTGGGTGGAGATAAAGGAGAACAGGCTCATTGTAATGGCTGGGATGGAATAAATGAAATGGTGTAATAATTGTCTTGAGTATCTTTCCATCCATTCCATTCCAGTCATTACGATGAGCCTGTCCTCCTAAATCTACGCCCTCTAGCCTCCTCTGGTTTGTGTTAATGTGAGCGTGCCAGGTTGTTTCTGTATTGAATCCAGTCTACAGTGGGATTGATCAGATGAAATATTGAATAGAGTATAGTATAGCTCTGGTGAGGAGAAGGGAAGGCAGGGTACCACACTGCACCACTCCACCTATAAAACTACAGCTATTTACGACTGGTTAGATTACACTGTGCAGCAGAAACAAGAAAGACGTGCACACACACCAGCCCTTGCCTCGGCTCGCCGCAGTTGTAAAATCAATAGCAGGGAAGGGACACCGACACACAGATCACAGAAACACTTGTACATCCAGACAAACAGAGAAAACCACACCACACCACTCCAGGCATGGAATTATTTCCTATATAGACTGTCTTACTGAGTGCAGACATAATGTTTTAGCATGCTGTCTGATGGACAGAGGAGCTGAGGGAGAACTCATATTGTTTCTTGATCATCTTGACCATCATATTGATGGAGGTGGTTGAGTAGGACCCTGATTGACCACGATGTCATGCTGACCACTCACCACACACTGATTCTGGATCAGTAACTAATCACCTCTGTTGATAATGAAAAGGTTCTGGTTGCTGAGGTGCTGTGTTGCTGCTGTGATGTCAGGGATCAACAGATCAGCCATCGATCAGCTGCTCTCATCATGTCTTACAGCATGGATCTCTCTCCACCAATATTCACTTCTCTCTTTCTTTTTCTCATCTCCTTCTCTCCAGCCAAAATGACCCGAGCGGACCAGCTGGACATCCAGTGATCCAGATCCAGCTGAAAGAGACCGGACCGATTCACACCTACATAACGTGAGTACAACATTAATCTTACTTTAATACAACCTTACCCTAAGTAAGCATGGACCACTACACGATTACCTGACGTGAGTACAAGCCAATTAAAATCAGAATATAACCTAATCTTAGTTTGAGATTTGGGCAATTCTACTTACCCAGAGTCAGATGAACTCATGGATACCATTTGATGTATCTGCGTGCAGTTTGAAGGACGTTGAATGTCGTTTCTGGAGCGATTGCTAACTAGCGTCAGTGCAATGAATGGAAGTCTATGGGATCAGCTAGCATTAGCGCAATTAGAGTAGAAAAAGTAGAAAAAAGGCTTACTGTCCAAATCTCGAACTATCCCTTTAAACCAACGTAACCATAACCAGACAGATACACAAATACTTGACGAGAGTACAATCCAAGCTCAACCTTAATCCAACTTTATCGTGACCGTGAAACAACACATGTGTCTACATTGAGTAAAACCCAACCACAACCTTCAAACAACCTCACTCTAACCTAACTCGGACCACTACACACATACTTGCAGGAAGAAACATCAAACGTTAACCCTAACCCTAATATCCGTATTCCCTTTACTTTTGGTTGGCACCACCAGCAATACAAGGGAAAATGTAACGTGAAAAATCTCTGCTGTTTTTTTTCAAACTGTTGCTGTATTCAGAAGAATTAATAAAACATCCCATTCACTCAACTTTACAGCCGACCTGACACTATAGCCTGACACCAGACAAGAGAACAGTTGAGACACACATAATTGTGTCACGCACACAGACAAATGTGCTGTGATTAAGGAGAGGTAGAGACAGTGTGTGTGTGAGAGAGGGTACACTCTTAGAAAAAATTGTTCCAAAAGGGTTCTCCGGCTGTCCCCACAGAAGCACCCTTTTTGGTTCCAGGTAGAACCCTTTTTGGTTGAAGGGAAAACTATTTTGGGTTCCATGTAGAACCCTCTGGGGAAAAGGTTCTACATGGAACCCAAAAGGGTTCTCCTTGGGGACAGCCAAAGAACCCTTTTAGGTTCTAGATAGCACCTTTTGTAGAGAGATGGAATATAGTAGCAGGTTTTCACTGAGTCCCTTTGATCACACCTGTCACTAAGGGGTTTGTCACACAGTCTCTACACGGGAATGCACAGTGCAATTGTTACAGGAAAGCACTTGAGCTGATGTGGCTCAGCAATCTGCTCATATGCAGAGAGCTGGGGTCTGCTTGCTGTCAAACTGTGCATGTGTGTTCGGGTCACCCGGGCTTATCCAAAAAGCTGGCACAAGAAAATACATTAAGGACTATGACATTGAGACCCACCCACCACCCCCCTGCTCAGTCCCCCCCACACACACTCACACAAACACATAACACACTTCATACACTCACACAATGCAACACTGTTTTGCTGCTAGCATATGGGATCCAGGCTCCTATTGGATTTTGAGGGTGGTATTATAACAGTTATACCAATAATTTCACATTCCTGACAGGAAGATAAATGCCCCGGTGGTGTTAAGACAATACTCCCACCCACTTCAGCTTCTGTTTCCCCACCACAATCAATACTGTATCGAGCTGATGATGAATTGGACATTAATAAGATATGATGTTGCCAGTAAAGAGGTAGTGTTTTATAGCAAGTTATTGTTCAAAGCTACAATATAAAATACTGTAGCTAAACGTTACAATGGGGATATTTACTATATTCAGTATTTACCTTCAGTTTACTAGAGGAGTTGATGAAGAACACTTTTACAGCAAAAACCTGAGGAAGAGCTGCAGTGGAAGGGAAATGGTTAAATGATTGAACTGGAAGTATTTTAAAGGGTCAGGTTGGAAACGTAGTCAGCACACCGCGGGGTGAACATGTTAATTGTCATGTCATGGCGTGGGATTATTTAAAATACTCCTCACTATGCGAAAAGCATCAATATCAGGGGATATCTTGATCTATATATATCTGGATATGTGACATTTTATTAGATATAAGGAGTAAACATGCTCCAGATACACATGTCCTTAATTGTATATATTGAGCTAGGATATTCTCCGTAATGGGACAGTTTCTACATACATCTAATCCGGACCTCAGAAATCTCCCTGCTGCCGAATGAGTCCAGGGAGGTACCTGGGGTGAGATCCCTTCAAGACATGCCCCTGATGCGTGTACACACGCTTACATATTTGTAGACTATTTTAACTCCGGAAAGAGTATGTGTCAACATGCTGACATATCTAAGACTTTATACTTAGGCATGAACGAATCCATGTATTTTAAGAAATGTACCACGAGTCATTACCTGATCATTTATGGATCCGTATTTTTTTTTTAAATCTTAATTTCAATAGATATCCTTAAATGATCTGTAATATTCATCCTCGTATGTCTGATCGAAAATGGGCTAAATCCGACGCATTATCAATGTCCAGCGCCCAAATTATTTTACCTTTTCAGGCGCCGGAAATCATTGTGCTTCTTCACATGAAGGTGACATAACTGAGCATACATTTCCACTACAAGGCATGGAAAAGCAAACATATTTAATCCAAAGCACATCTATGCTATTTCTGCAACTCCAGAGCTCCATCTCCTCTAACTGAAGCAAATTGTAGAGATTTTTTTTCTATTGATAATGTAAAATTAACAGCCAAACAGAAAGGCTCATGTGAAGGTGAAAGTACAGAGGAACTTCTGGATGCAATTAAAGGATGCAATTAAAGACTTTAAGTCCGGGAAAACTCCAGGGTTGGATGGCATACCAGTCGAGGTATACCAAACCTTTTTTTGATATACTCAGAGGACCGTTATTAGTATGTTTTAACCACTCCTATGTAAATGGTAGATTATCAGACACTCAAGAAGATGGTCTGATTTCATTATTACTGAAACAGGATACAAGTGGAAAATATAAAGATCCAGTCCATAAAAAAAATTGGCGGCCCCTTACACTTCAGTGTTGTGATGCAAAATTTCTAGCAAAATGTATAGCGCATAGAATTAAAAAGGTATTGTCGGACATTATTCATTCTAATCAGACAGGTTTTTTACATGGGTGATACATTGGAGATAATATAAGGCAAGTACTGGAAACAATAGAACACCATGAAAAATCTGGGAAACCAGGCCTACTATTCATGGTAGACTTCGAAAAGGCATTTGATAAAGTACGACTGGGGTTTATATATTTGCCTACGCCTAGCGAACAGTTTTTTAAATTATATGAGAAAAAAATATTCCATTTTATTTGGAACGGCAAGCCAGACAAAATTAAACAGGCCTATTTATATAATGAATATGAATTAGGAGGACAGAAATTACTAAATATTAAAGCATTAGACCTATCACTAAAAGCTTCATTCATACAAAAATTATACTTAAATCCGAACTGGTTCTCTAACAAACTAGTAAGATTGTCTCACCCAATGTTCAAGAAGGGACTTTTTCCCTTTATTCAGATTACAAACCCTCACTTTCAGGTATTTGAAAAGGAAATCATCTCCCAAATATCACTATTTCTAAAACAAGCCATAGAAAGTTGGTTGCAATATCAATTTAATCCTCCAGAAATGACAGAACAAATATTGCAAAAAATATTGTGTTTAAACTCAAATATACTAATTGATAAAAAACCGTTCTTCTTTGGAGGGAGTTAAAAGTCCGTGTTGCCCAGCGACAGCCCCAAAACATCACTGCTCTAGAGGAGATCTGCATGGAGGAATGGGCCAAAATATCAGCAACAGTGTGTGAAAACCTTGTGAAGACTTACAGAAAACGTTTGACCTGTGTCATTGCCAACAAAGGGTATATAACATATTCTGATGCAACGAATTCTGATGCATTTCTGAGTTTTCAGCATATGCTCAATAATTTGTCAAATATGAAATCCATATTATTCTTTCATGCACAAATCATTTTAGGATTCCTTCCGGATATCATACATGGTATGACCAGTTGTTGACTCATTAGATATCCTGAGATAGGCCTATGTGGAAATCATATTTTCTCTATATGATGACAAATACTGACAGTAGGCCTTCATAGTATATTTTCTCAGCATATACAGTGGAGAGAACAAGTATTTGATACACTGCCGATTTTGCAGGTTTTCCTACTTACAAAGCTTGTAGAGGTCTGCAATGTTTATCATAGGTACACTTCAACTGTGAGAGACGGAATCTAAAACAAAAATCCAGAAAATCACATTGTATGATTTTTAAGTAATTAATTTGCATTTTATTGCATGACATAAGTATTTGATCACCTACCAACCAGTAAGAATTCCGGCTCTCACAGACCTGTTAGTTTTTCTTTAAGAAGCCCTCCTGTTCTCCACTCATTACCTGTATTAACTGCACCTGTTTGAACTCATTACCTGTATAAAAGACACCTGTCCACACACTCAATCAAACAGACTCCAACCTCTCCACAATGGCCAAGACCAGAGAGCTGTGTAAGGACATCAGGGATAAAATTGTAGACCTGCTCAAGGCTGGGATGGGCTACAGAACAATAGGCAAGCAGCTTGGTGAGAAGGCAACAACTGTTGGTGCAATTCTTAGAAAATGGAAGAAGTTCAAGATGACGGTCAATCACCCTCGGTCTGGGGTTCCATGCAAGATCTCACCTAATGGGGCATCAATGATCATGAGGAAGGTGAGGGATGAGCCCAGAACTGGATTTTTGTTTTAGATTCCGTCTCTCACAGTTGAAGTGTACCTATGATAAACATTGCAGACCTCTACAAGCTTTGTAAGTAGGAAAACCTGCAAAATCGGCAGTGTATCAAATACTTGTTCTCTCCACTGTATATGCTGAGAAAATATACTATGAAGGCCTACTGTCAGTATTTGTCATCATATAGAGAAAATATGATTTCCACATAGGCCTATCTCAGGATATCTAATGAGTCAACAACTGGTCATACCATGTATGATATCCGGAAGGAATCCTAAAATGATTTGTGCATGAAAGAATAATATGGATTTCATATTTGACAAATTATTGAGCATATGCTGAAAACTCAGAAATGCATCAGAATTCGTCCTTATTTTCAGCATATCAAAAAGTATATCAATATCCGGATATGAACCTCAGCCAAGAGAAGCATATCTGGAATCAATATAGTTTAATATCTTGAATGTGCTGAGAAAATACAGATATGCGATGTATACAGTCAGTATTTGTCAACATGAAGAGAGAAAATTGGATGTCACATTATCTCATGATATTGAATGAGTCCATATCCGGCCATCGGAAATGTCCATGTGTGATATTCGGAGTAATCCCAATATCATACTGTATATCGAAAAGACACATCTGGATTCAGCATTTGTCAGGATATGGTGCAAATCCACAAAACTCAAAATATGCACTGGAAATGGTCTGTATTTTCTAGAATATCAAAAATGTGTCATGTAAAGATATCCCCTGATATGGACAGTTTTCGCCCCCAGTGTCTATGAAGAAGTAGGGTTTCAGATGTTTTCGGAAGATGAGCAGGGACTCTACTGTCCTACCTTCAGGGGAAAGCTGTTTCCACCATTGGGGTGCCAGGACAGAGAAGAGCTTTGACTGGGCTGAGCAGGAGCTACCCTCCTGTAGGGGTGGGAGGACCAAGAGACCAGAGGGGGCAAAATGGAGTACTCGAGTTGAGGTGTAGGGTTTGAGCATAGCCTGAAGGTAGGGAGAGGCAGTTCCTCTTGCTGCTCCGTAGGGAAGTACCATGGTATTGTAGTGGATGCGCGCTTCGACTGGAAGCCAGTGGAGCATGCAGAGGAGCGGGGTGACATGGGAGAACTTGGGAAGGTTGAATACAAGGTGGGCTGCAGCGTTCTGGATACATTTCAGGGGTTTGATGGTACAAGCAGGGAGCCCAGCCAACAGCGAGTTGCAATAGTCCAGACGGGAGATGACAAGTGCCTGGATTAGGGCATGCGCGGCTTCCGGTGTGAGGTCTGCTCGTACTCTACGGATGTTGTAGAGCATGAACCTGCAGGAGCGAATCACAGCTTTGATGTTTGCAGAGAACCACAGGGTGTTGTCCAGGTTCACCCCAAGGTTCTTTGCACTCTGGTAGGGGGACACCGTAGAGTTGTCTACTGTGATGGAGAGGTCTTGGAGCGGGCAGGCCTTCCCCGGGAGGAAGAGCAGCTCCGTCTTGTTGAGGTTGAGCTTGAGATGATGGACCGACATCAAAGATGAGATTTCTGCCAGGCACACAGAGATGCATGTCGCCACCTGGGTGTCAGAAGGGGGGAAGGAGAAAAGGAGTTGAGTGTCATCAGCATAGCAATGATAGATACACTATGTGAGTATATGATGGAGCTGAGTGACTTGGTGTATAGAGAGAAGATGAGAGGGCCTAGAACCGAGCCCTGGGGGACACCAGTAGTGAGAGTATGTGGTGCAGACACAGATCCTCTACACGTCACCTGGTATGAGCAGCCTACCAGGTAGGATGCAATCCAAGAGTGTGCAGAGCCTGAGACGCCCAGCCCTGAGAGGGTGGAGAGGAGGATCTGATTGTTAACTGCGTCAAAGGCAGCGGATAGATCTAGGAGGATGAGAACAGAGTAGAGAGAGTCAGCTTTGGCAGTGCGGACAGCCTCAGTGACACAGAGGAGAGCAGTCTCGGTTGAGTGACCCATCTTGAAGACTGACTGATTAAGGTCAAGAAGATTGTTGCGAGAGAGTTGGTCAGAGTCAGTAGGCTCAAGTGTTTTGGAAAGAAAAGAAAGAAGGGATACCGGCCTGTAGTTTTTGACGTCAGAGGGGTCGAGTGTTAGTTCTTAGCTCAACATCTGTGGAGACAAATCACCAATATCACCACACTGGCAGCCAATCACGTCACCCCTGACACTCACTTGGAGCCATTCAGTGTTGTTGTTTATGTATGTAGCTAATGGGTTAAGCTGTAGCATTAGCAATGTTTTTCAAAAATAGATTTTTGTAAATTCTTACAATGATTCTGAATATGACATTGAGGAATCAGATTCTGACAGTGACAGTGAGGAGCTTCCCCCCAACCTTATGGCCATTGAGAACCCTGAATCTGAGGACCCCTTCCCCACCAACAAAGTCCCAGGTCCCTCTGAAGATGCTGGTGGTGATGGAGGCACACCAACAGTGGGTGAAGTACAGGAGGTCTGCGGTAGCTGGAAGGCCTCCAGACATTTCACCCCTCCTGGCACTGCTGTTGGCTTTGATGCGTCCCAGTCTGGAGTGCAAAGCCCCTTGCCATCTCTCTCTGAGGCGTCAAGCTGTTTCTGACAGAGGAGCTGGTGGGAGACATAGTGGAGGAGACCAATCGCTATGGCTTGGAGCTACAGGAGAAGAGAGAGCCTCAGGGAAGGTGGACCACATGACAGGAGAGAGAAAGATCAAATCAGACTGTGCTTGACCATAATTGCAAAATGGGGGCAGTAGATAAGGCGGACATGATGAACAGCTTTGTGGCATGCCCCCGGAAAACCACCAAGTGGTATAATAATATATGTGACCAAACACCTCTTTTCAGTCTTATGTTGCAAAATTTGAAATTGTGTTGTTTACATTGGATAAAAGTACAGACTCAGAGCTACAAAATGATATATCATACACTGCAGTTCAGGAACAAAGTGAAAGTAATTCTGCTTTGAAAGTTGATAAATTTGTAACCCCACTTTTGAGAAAATGGCCCTTGAATGGCCCACTCTTCAGCCATTCAGCATCGTTCCTACCATCTTAAGCCTTTGCCCCCCCCCCCCCCCCCCCCCCGGCTAACTTGATGGGTCATGTAATCATCTGGTGAAGTGGAATCTTTTGTTTAGACATGTAGCTAGCTAGCTAGCTAGACAATGACCCATAAACCGAAACCATACAGTACTAGACATACAAACAGATTGTCATAGCTAGCCACCATGCATGAAATGCTGTAGTATGAATCTGCAGGTAAAATCTAACCAACTAGGTTCAATGTTATCTAGCTACCTAACATTAGGCTATAACTAGCAATGCAAATGGATTTCTGAAATACAAATAATATTACTACACAGATCATGCATTTAGCGTTAGCTAGCTAGCCAGCCAGCTAACGTCAGCTAGCTAGCTAACAGTACGCTTTAACTTGCAATGAAAATGACTTTCTGACAAAATTAGAAATGTATAAAATCTGAAAATGTAGCTAGAGTCTTACCCGTATAAATGGATGAACGCTTCATGGCAGACTGGAACCCCTTTAACTAAGACGTCTTGTGTCGTTTCCGTTTTGTTTGTACAGCTTGCTTGGCCCATTGTGTAAGGTCACTCCGGTTCATTGCACATTGACCATGTGCAATGCCATAAAAATCATCAGATCTTTCTATCTCTCTGTCAGGTATGCAATCAAACGCATTAATTTTCTCCTTCTCGTACTCTGCTTCCACCGGGCATTCCACTGATTTCAAAGCTCAGTCAACTTCTTCAGTGACAACAACACTGTTGACCGCCGTATCTTCCCCATCACTGTCATCAGAAGACTACAATGTCTGGTTCAATGAAAATGTTTTTACCTAAGTCAGGGATTTCCTCATCATCTGATTCATTTTCAGAGTCAGAGAGAGTCCTCCAGAAAGTAGCCCATCACAACCTTTTCCCACTGATCTCTGTCGATAGCCCCTGCTAAATTCAGGGCAGCAATGTTGAGAGCAGTAGCAACACTTTTGCAGTTCTTCATGTCTACTATATCTTTCAAAAAGGCTGTGGTAGCAAGGATTATCTACACATGTTATAGACAGAAGCATGCTACAGGGCAGACCAATCAGAACTCATCTCTCGGCATGTCCAGCCCATCCATTATCTCAGCCAATCATGGCTAGCGGGAAGGTTCCTGTATTTTCCAGTGGCTAAACCAACTAGGCTTGTAATTTAACAATTTTATTCATTTTTACAGATGGCATACAAGTTTGTTATTAAGGCAGATGAAAGTTCACATGTTCCAGAAGGCATTTCAGCCAGAAAACGCATAAAAATAAAATAAAATAAATAAAAGTTCAAATGCCTCTCATGTGAAGTAGTGACATGTGACATATGCCTAGCTTCCTGAAACGGGTCACATATTTTTACTGCACAAGGTTTTTTGTAATTGCACATATAGTTAATGTACAAATCAAATACAGTTCCATTATGCAATTATATTGACAATATCTCACCCACCTCCCCACTCCCTCATCATCCCCTCCACTCCCTCATCCTTCCTACTCCCTCTTCAAACAGTATGTTGCAAAATATGTCTCGTTCCAGTTATGATGTTGGCAAGGTATGTTCAATACTGTGTGTGTGTGGTTTCTGAAAGTACAGAATAAAGAGGAATTATTAGTAATTAGAATCAAATATCAGGATAGCAATAAAACAATATTACAAGTAACATAATAACTGAAGAGCTCCACAAGGGCTCCACAAGGGGGCAGAGCTATGCAGGCCAAATGAGTACACAGGCCAAATGCAATGGTCATGATAAGGCCAGGGCAGCTGATCATGGCTAGAAGGGATCCAGCTTTAGTCAAATTAACATCAGAGTTGACTTTTCGTAGCAGGTTAGGAGAACTTACGCAGCAGGTTAGGATAATTAACGTAGCAGGTTAGGAGAATGAGGTTAAGGTTAGGAATAGGGTTAGGGTTAGCTTAAATGCTAATTCTACGTTTGACGTTAATTTGACAAAAGCTGGATCCCTTCTAGCCATGACCAGGGCAACTTCAAAAGATACAACACAAGCTAATACTTATTTGACGCCATTAGCATTAGTATTGTTTTACAGAACTAAATGTAACAACATAACCACAATTGAGTATAACACCATAAAGGTTATGAAATCAGTACCTCGAGGAATACACACAAAATACATTATGCTCCATACATAAATATGGTGTGCTACAGTATAAATACACTACATTACCAAAATTATGTGGACACCTGCTCGTCGAAAATTTATTTCCAAAATCATGGGCATTAATACGGAGTTGGTCCCCCCCCTTGCTGCTATAACAGCCTCCACTCTTCTGTGAAGGCTTTCCAGTAGATGTTGGAACATTGCTGCGGGGACTTGCTTCCATTCAGCCACAAGAGCATTAGTGAGGCCAGGCACTGATGTTGGGTGATTAGGCCTGGATCGCAGTCAGTGTTCCAATTCAATCGAAAGGTGTTCAATGGGGTTGAGATCATGGCTCTGTGCAGGCTAGTCAAGTTCTTCCACACCGATCTCGACATACCATTTCTGTATGGACCTCGCTTTGTGCATGGGGGCATTGTTATGCTGAAACAGGAAAGGGCCTTCCTCAAACTGTTGCCACAAAGTTGGAAGCACAGAAGCGTCTAGAATGTCATTTTATGCTGTAGCGTTAAGATTTCCCTTCACTGGAACTAAGGGGCCTAGTCCGAACCATGAAAAACAGCCTAAGACCATTATTCCTCCTCCACCAAACTTTACAGTTGGCACTATGCATTGGGGCAGGTAGCGTTCTCCGGGCATATGTCAAACCCAGATCCATCTGTCGGACTGCCAGATGGTGAAGCGTGATTCATCACTCCAGAGAACATGTTTCCACTGCTCCAGAGTCCAATGGCGGCAAACTTTACACCACACCACTCCAGCTGACGCTTGGCATTGCGCATGGTCATCTTAGGCTTGTGTGCAGCTGCTCGGCCATGGAAACCCATTTAATGAATCTCCCGACGAACAGTTATTGTGCTGACGTTGCTTCCAGAGGCAGTTTGGAACTCTGTATTGAGTGTTGCAACCAAGGACAGCACTTGGCGGTCCCGTTCTGTGAGCTTGTGTGGCCTACCACTTTGCGGTTCAGCCGTTGTTGCTCCTAGACGTTTCCACTTCACTATAACAGCACTTGCAGTTGACCGGGGCAGCTCTAGCAGGGCAGGAATTTGACAAACTGACTTGTTGGAAAGGTGGCATCTTATGACGGTGCCACGTTGAAAGTCACTGAGCTCTTCAGTAAGGCCATTCTACTGCCAATGTTTGTTAATGGAGATTGCATGGCTGTGTGCTCGATTTTACACACCTGTCAGCAACGGGGTGTGGCTGAGATAGCCGAATCCATTATTTTGAAGGAGTGTCTACATACTTTTGTATATATAGTATAACACGATATAGAGAAACTCTGGACTCCTGCGCTTGACTCCTTCTTTCACACCTCGTCACACCCTGTGCCACCACCGTGATGACCAGATGCTCTCGGATTATGAGAGAACATGTAGTAAGATGAAGAGAGAGCAGCTAGAGTATTTGATTTCTGTATATATTGTTGTCTTTGTGGCTTTTTCTGTGCATCAGAGCTTCCAGTTTGTTTGTGTCTGCATCATGTGTGTGGGTGTTTGTATGTACAGATGCTATTAAAAATGAATCACACATTAGCTTTGCTAACCTTGCTTATGCAAATAATCATGCTCTGCTCACAATTACTGTACTTTCAAAGCCTACTGGACCAGAGAAAATGAGGGGAGGGGGAGAACGTGAGATATAGGAAAATAGAAAGATGGAGGGAGTAAGAGAATGTGATAGAGGAAGAAAGAGGTGAAGATCATGCAGAAGAAAGATAGAGAGAGAGATGTGGCTATAGAGAGAGAGAGACAGAGGGGGAAGCAGGAGGGAGGAAAATAAATAGAGAGAGGAACAGAGAGGGCAGGATTGGAGGTGAGTAAAATAGATAGATAGAAAGAGAGAGAGAGAGAAAGAGAGGAGATTGTAAATTCATCCCTCCTGCTTGTCAGTGGATCAATATCTTGCAGGGTGGGCAGAGCAGAGCAGGACTTGGCCAGGCAGGGAGAGGCAGAGCATGCCTCTATAGAGACTGAACACAGAACACAGGGCTGGGCAGGAGCAGAGGAAAGGAGAGAAGTCTTAGTCATTCTCCCTCTTTTCCTCCTCTCTCTCTCTCTCTTTATTCCCTCTCCTCTTCACCCTAAAAGCATTTGAGGGTCATTTTTGACACTCCAACCTCAACTAGGCGGTCTCAAAGATAATGTGTTTACATGTGTTATTAACGTTGAGTGTGTAAGTCACTGACTTTATCTCTCTGTCTCTGTCTCTCTGTGTAGGAGCTGTGATTTGGAGATGAATGGGAAGGTGGGAGGTAGAGGACCTGTGAGTTCACCCAACGACATGAACTGCAACTCCAACAGCATCACCATGGTATCAGACCTATCCTCCCCAGAGTCTCAGACCCAGTCTCAGCCCTTCACACCCCGGGTCAGTACACACACACACACATACACTCAAGCATGCCCGCACGCAAGCACTCCCGCACACACATACACACACCTCACGACACCGTTACAACTCACTACACCACACACCACATCATGGTTTCATGACAGATTCAGTGATACAAAGAGGTGCATTTTGTTCTCTCATCTTCCCTCTGCCCCTTTCTCCTTCCCTCGTTTCCTCTCCAGGCATCTCGTACTCCAAAGAAAGCTGCGATGTTTGGGAAGCGTTCTAACTCCATGAGGAGGAACCCTAAAGCTGTAGTAGCTAAGCAGGGCTGGCTATACAAACAGGTAATTCAGCTCTATACACTATACTGCATCAGCATGATGCACTTTCCCTTATGCTTAGTGGTATAAGGGTTTTAGGCTCGGTTTCTGTATAAGAACTTTGTGTCAACTGCTGTTGTAAAAAGGGCTCTATAAATAAATGGGATTGATTGATTGATTGATAGACAAATGCCCCATAATACCCCATAAATATCTCATAACTAGGACCAGATAAACTCTTCTTCCAGTATTGTCATTATTCTCTACATGTTTCAGTTCAATATTCCTTGTCTCTCCCATTTGTTTTGATCCAGTATGTCTCAGACACTTACTTTGTTTTGGTCCAGTGTTGCTTTCCCTCTCACGTTGTTTAGGTCTCATAGAATTTTTCTTCCTGTCTTTTACATAGCGCATTATTTCTCACAATGTTTAAGTCAAGTTTCTGTGTTCCCCCTGAAGTTGTTTGGTCCAGTCTAAACTGTTGTGTCTACTCTCTGGAGTCCCATCCATTTCAGTGTGTGTTTTTAGTCCCCTTGTCTGTCTCTCCCTTTAGGCCAGTCAAACCCATCTCAATGTGTGTTATTCTCTCTGTCTCTCTCTGTCTCACTGTAGGCCAGCAGTGGAGTGAAACAGTGGAACAAGAGATGGTTTGTCCTGACTGACCGATGCCTCTTCTACTACAAAGGTAGGTTACTGTCATAGCATTGCCGTCTTACTTTTAGTTCTCTTTTATTTTTTTGATAACCCATCGCCACCCTTCATCTGAGGACATCTTTATAATTACGCTTTATTTTATTGCATTTTATTGTATGCTTTAGTCAGAATGGTTTTTTCCTTCTTTCTTGACATACTGTTTCTCTTCTCTTGTCAACAGATACGGTAAGTTAGCTTAATGGTATACATGTGTTTCTGTGGTAGTGTGCTCTGTTATTTTGCCAGCAGGTAGAAACCACAGTAACTGACAGATCCGGTTATTCAACCATGTGTTGGCTACGTCCCAATATACTGTATCTTGTTTTCTGAGTGTTTAAAAAAAAAAAAAGACTGGTCAATCTTATCCAACAATCTCTGCTATGCAGATAGGTATCCACATATACATACATGGGGTTGACTTAACATAATATTTACATTCATATTTTACAGTATGTATAAATTTTCTATCTAACCTTTATTTGATCCAGGAAGTTCCACGACATGGGTAGCGTCTCAGCTGACATTATATTCCCTATATAGAGCCCTTTTAAACAGAGCCCTTAGTGGCTAGAATCTCTTTTTCAATGGAAACCTGGCCAAGACACCTCACTACACCTGCTACTTCTGTCTCTCTCTCAGAGTCCTACTCTGTGGATTTGTTTGCTTGTATCTGCTTTGGAAACTGGAAAGCTTTGATCCCTCCTTGGCTTGGTTGTACTGTCATGGGCTGGTGTCACATTTAAAACGGCCCCCTTGTTTGTGTTTTTTACCTTAGCTACATGATGTCATGTCAGTGTGTTCTGTTGGCAGAGTGGAGGGCCGTGTGTTATGTGCATGTCACCAATATGTCAAGAGGACTGTTGACTTGTTCAAGGTGCTTTAATACCACACAGCTACGCAAGTCATATTCTCCTAAGTGTCTCTACTCTCCTCCATGCCAAGTCCCTGAGTCTTTGTGGTCTTCATCTGTCATCTTCTGAGCCACAGCCAGGAGTGGAGAATAAACAATGTGGCATTTGAATATATCACACTGCTTGAGGTATCTTCTTCAAGTTTGATGTACGAGCTAAGTGTGTGTGGGTTTATGTGTGGCTCTGTGTACATATGGAAGTGTGAGAGGGTCATTGTAGTATGTATTGAGAAATGTTTTACAAAAGACATGAGTACATTGGGCTATGTAAACAATCTATTGATGGACATTCAACGCACGCACGCACACACACACACACACACACACACACACAGACACACACACACCTTATACAGCACAGTCTCTCCATCAGGGCAGCGGTGAATGTGACTCAATTCGATTGCACACTACTCTAGAAGTAGACATTCTGAGAGTGTCGAGGTTGTCTCTGTCTCCTAATGTGACAGATGTTAAAGTCTGTAATTCCCCCTGGTCCACCTGCAGCCCTCTGCTCCCAATACAACCCATGGCAAATAGAAGGGGAGAATAGTGACTTACAAGATGAAAAAGAAAGAAGATGATGATTGTCTTTCCCACTTCCCCTCTCTTTCTCTCTCTCTCTCTCGATGTCCCTGAAGGTATAGAGATTTTTTTCAATTTTCTGTCGGCAATGTATGAAGGGAAAGGGGATACCTAGTCAGTTGCACAACTGAATGCATTCAATTGAAATGTGTCTTCAGCATTTAACCCAACCCCTCTGAATCAGGGGTGTCTTAGTGCCACAGTGTATTGCTCATGAGAAACTCTCTCTACTATTATTGCAGAATAGACAACACTCCTTCTCCAGCACCAAAAAGTCTAATGACATTCAGCGATTGCCCTTAGGTCTACACTTTTGTAGCTTGAATTAATTGATGCGTCTTGCTGACAAATTCACCTTTTTTGTCAAAAGGAAAGTTGGGACACCTGAAAAGGGGCTGAAATATGGGACGCAAATACAGCTGTGTTTGTCCTGAGCTCATCGAACTGTTTCAAGTTCGGTAGCGGGCTGGACCCAGTTGATAATGTTGCAAGTTCGCTAGCGGGCTGGTCCCAATCGATACAATGTTGCAAATTTGCTGGCGAAAGATCAAGACAGACAGATGGAAAGGCTGACAGGCAGAGTAGAGAGATGAACACGATTGAAAGACCCTGAACACTGAATGATAGAGAGGCGGGGGGATTGTTTAATTTGGAATAAGCTTTTATTTTAATATTTACCACTGTAGTAGTACAAAATAGCATTTTAAACAAATAGGTGACAAGCTAGATCCCTACAATGTCTCATTGAAGATAACCTTTCTGGACTAAAACCTAATTATGATTAATGTACAATATTGCGTATTGGATCTTTAAAAAATACAACTTTTACATTACCCTGGAGTTTACCTATAAAATGGGCTGATGGTGAAGTAGACATACTTGGTATTTATATCACAAAACAAATAAATGAGCACAATGATTTTCAATAGAAAACTAGTAAAAAATAGACAAGATCCTGCAACCATGGAGAGGTAAATACCTATCTATTTATGGAAAATTGCCCTGAGTTACTCCTTAGTCATATGTCCAGTTTACTCACTTACTTATGGCGCTGCCTACTCCTGATTATTCATTTTTCAAACCATATGAGCAAAAAATAATTCGCTTTATCTGGGATGCTAAACCAGACAAGATAAAGCGTGCCTATCTATATAATGAATATGAATTGGTTGGGTTGAGATTATTAAATATAAAAGCACTAAACCTCTCTCTAAAAGCATAACTTATCCAAAGTTTTACTTGAACCCTAAATGGTTCTCAAGTAGATTAATAAGAAAAGCTCATCCATTGTTTAAAAATTGCCTTTTTGCCTTTGTGCAGATTGCCATGTCTCATTTTCAATCAATTGAAAATGAAACTTTTTTCAAAGTATCTCTCTTTTTCAAACAAGCATTGCAGAGCTGGCTACAATTTCATACCCCTGAAAAGATAGAACAAATATTACAACAAAAATTATGGCTGAACTCAAATGTGCTGGTTGATAAAATACCTGTATTTATGGAAAATATGTTTGAAAAGGGTATTTTGTTTTTAATTGATATTGTAAATTGGAATGGCAGAGTTGTGTATTTCATGGAGTTATCAGAATTGTATGGGAAGGTCTGCTCAATCCAAGATTACAACCAATTGATTACAGCATTACCCCAAAAATGGAGGTCTGGTCTGTCTGCCCAATATAAAGGATCAAAACTGGCGGAGGAATAAAAATAGCATAAATAGGAAAGTATACCAGTTTCATTTGAGGACCAGGATGCTGTGCCATACAGATTACAAAATAGTTGGGAAGAGTTTTTTGATGTACCGATTCCATGGTACAGGGTGTACGAGTTGATATATAAAACAAAGCAAGATTCAAGAATTCTTGCCACCAACAAAATGTTGAATATTTGGGACATACAATCATCACAGCTCTTCAGATTTTGTTGTGAGGATACAGAATCAATAGACCATTTGTTTTGGTATTGCCCTCAGGTAGCCTGTTTCTGGTCTCAGGTTCAGGAATGGCTGAAAATGCATAACATTGATCTAAAATTGACCCTAGAAATAGTATTGTTGCGAGATCTGGAGAGACCAGATATATGGTGCGTAGAAATCCGAAGAGGGTGGCCAGCGGAGATGGTGGAATTATTTTATTTTTCTCAGGGGCAGCTGTTGGGGAACTGTGGGGGGGATCTTGGAGGGCTGGTGGCCTGGCGGTTGGGAGCTTTGGCCAGTGGCTGATGGGTTGCTGGTTCGGGTCCCCGTTTTTGACGTTATGGGAGATCTGTCGACGTGCCCTTGAGCGGGGCGTTGACCCTGGTTGCTTCTGTGGGTCGCTCTGGATGGGAGTCTGTTAGATGACTAATGTGATGTAGATGTTGAGCTGCTTCACTGCAAGTAGATTGTATGTTTTAAATATTCAATATAAAAAAAATATTTAAAAAATAATAATAAACAAATTGGTGAATGGTTAAATTAGAGACCCCCCAAAGTTGGACTTTTGTTGCATTTAGGGGAGCTTATGTGTGTGTGAGCCACCCTTGTTTCTAGGAAATCATACACAAAAGGTATCATTTGTCCAAATATTTAGGAACAGGTCATCATTTCATAGAGTCTGTGAAGGAAGAAACCACATAGAAAAAGTGGTTTCCCCTAGTCAAATTAATGTATTGAATTAGAGGTTTCATGATGCTTGCATCTAAACCAAAGTTGATAATTTTAAGATTGTTTTGTACTTGTTTAAGATTGTTTTGTACTTGTACGTCAGTTGGAGTCTCTATAAGCTTCAATATGAGGTCCTAAACCTAGCATGAAAGTCATCCTTGTAGCTGTGTGGGCTAATATAGTCAAAATGTGTTTGCCTTGGGGTAAATTGAGCCCATTGTTGAGCCAATAGCAAGTTGAGCAAATTGAAGTGATTTCTTCCCAGGCGTAATGCAAGGCATTATCGCTGGCATTAGGTAACAACAGGGTCTGGCCTATGTTAAAAGTGTTTAAAAAAGTACAAAGTGTTTGTTATGCCAAGAAACCACTTTTTTTGGACAGCTATGTTTTCAAAACTGTAATGTTTACATTAATTCTGATTATTATTTCCTGAAATATACACTGAGTGTACAAAACATTAGGAACACCTTCCTAATATTGAGTTGCACCCCCTTTTGCCAATGAGCTAAGATAAGTAGTGGATTTGCCTAGCAGTGATTTATAGATGGCCTGGAGCCAGTGGGTTTGGCGACGAATATGTAGTGAGGACCAGCCAACAAGAGCGTACAGGTCACAGTGGTGGGTAGTATATGGGGCTTTGGCGACAAAACGGATGGCACTGTGATAGACTACATCCAATTTGCTGAGTAGAGTGTTGGAGGCTATTTTGTAAATTACATTGCCGAAGTCAAGGATCGGTAGGATAGTCAGTTTTACGAGGGCATGTTTGGCAGCATAAGTGAAGGAGGCTTTGTTGCGAAATAGGAAGCCGATTCTAGATTTAACTTTGGATTGGAGATGCTTAATGTGAGTCTGGAAGGAGAGTTTACAGTCTAACCAGACACCTAGGTATTTGTAGTTGTCCACATACTCTAGGTCAGACCCGTCGAGAGTAGTGATTCTAGTCGGGTGGGCGGGTGCCAGCAGCATTTGATTGAAGAGCATGCATTTAGTTTTACTTGTGTTTAAGAGCAGTTGGAGGCTACAGAAGGAGTGTTGTATGGCATTGAAGCTTGTTTGGAGGTTTGTTAACACAGTGTCCAATGAAGGGCCAGATGTATACAAAATGGTGTCGTCTGCGTAGAGGTGGATCTGAGAATCACCAGCAGCAAGAGCGACATCATTGATATACACAGAGAAAAGAGTCGGCCCAAGAATTGAACCCTGTGGCACCCCCATAGAGACTGCCATAGGTCCAGACAACAGGCCCTCCGATTTGACACATTTAACTCTATCTGAGAAGTAGTTGGTGAACCAGGCGAGGCAGTAATTTGAGAAACCAAGGCTATTTAGTCTGCCAATAAGAATGCGGTGGTTGACAGAGTCGAAAGCCGTAGCAAAATGCTTATTGAAATTCGCGATTGGTGATAGTGTTTCCTAGCCTCAGTGCAGTGGGCAGCTGGGAGGAGGTGCTCTTATTCTCCATGGACTTTACAGTGTCCCAAAACCTTTTGAAGTTAGTGCTATAGGATGCACATTTCTGTTTGAAAAAGCTTGCCTTTGCTTTCCTAACTGCTTGTGTATATTGGTTCCTAACTTCCCTGAAAAGTTGCATATCTCGGGGGCTATTCGATGCTAATGCAGTACGACACAGGATGTTTTTGTGCTGGTCAAGGGCAGTCAAGTCTGAGTAGAACCAGGGGCTATATCTGTTCTTAGTTCTGAATTTTTTGAATGGGGCATGCTTATTTAAGATTGAGAGGTAAGCACTTTTAAAGAACAACCAGGCATCCTCTACTGACAGAATGAGATCGATATCCATCCAGGATACATGGACCAGGTCAATTAGGAAGGCCTGCTCGCTAAAGTGTTTTAGGGAGTGTTTGACAGTGATGAGGGGTGGTCGTTTGACCGCGGACCCGTTACGGACGCAGGCAATAAGGCAGTGATCGCTGAGATCCTGGTTGAAGACAGCTGAGGTGTATTTAGAGGGTAAGTTAGTCAGGATGATATCTATAAGGGTGCCCATGTTTACGGATGTAGGGTTGTACCTTGTAGGTTCCTTGATAATTTGTGTGAGATTGAGGGCATCTAGTTTAGATTGTAGGATGGCCGGGGTGTTAAGCATATCACAGTTTAGGTCACCAAGCAGTACGAACTCTGAGGATACATGGGGGGCAATCAATTCACATATGGTGTCCAGGGCACAGCTGGGGGCTGAGGGGTGTCTGTAGCAAGCGGCAACAGTGAGAGACTTATTTCTGGAAAGGTGGATTTTTAGAAGTAGGAGCTCAAACTGTTTGGGCACAGACCTGGATAGTATGATAGAGCTCTGCAGGCTATCTCTACAGTAGATTGCAACTCCACCCCCTTTGGCAGTTCTATCTAGACTGAAAATGTTGTAGTTGGGGATGGAAATATCTGAATTTTTGGTGGCCTTCGTAAGCCAGGATTCAGACACTGCTAGAAAATCAGGGTTGGTGGAGTGTGCTAACGCAGTGAATAACTCAAACTTAGGGAGGAGGCTTCTGATGTTAACATGCAAAAAAACGAATGCTTTTACGGTTACAGAAATCAACAAATGATAGCTCCTGGGGAGTAGGAGTGATACTGGGGGCTGCAGGGGTTAACCTCTACATCACCAGAGGAACAGAGGAGGACTAGAATAAGGATACGGCTAAAGGCTTTAAGAACTGGTCTTCTAGTGCGTTGGGTACAGAGAGTAAAGGGGGCAGATTTCCGGGCATTGTAGAATAGATTCAGGGCATTATGTACAGACAAGGATATGGAAGGATATGAGTACAGTGGAGGTAAACCTAAGCGTTGGGTAACAATGAAAGAGATAGCATCACTGGATGCACCGATTGAGCCGGTCTCCGCGTGTATGGGGGGTGGAACAAAGGAGCTATTTGAGGCAGTTTGAGAGGGACTTGGGGCTTTACAGTGAAATTGTATAATAAGAACTAACTGGAACAGCAATTTGCAAGGCATATTGACATGGGAGAGAGGCATAAAGCAATCACAGGTGTTATTCGAGAGAGCTAAGACAACAACTGGTAACGGCGATGAAAGTTTGGGCTGAGGCTAAACAGATGAACAGGACAGGGTACCGTGTAAAGGAACAGTCCAGCAGGCATCAGCTGTGCAGCTGAGTGATCATAAGGTCCAGTGAACAGCAATATGTGAGTCCGAGAGCAGTTTGAATTGGTGCTACAGCACAGGCTAGCAGGAAGCACGGCTGTTGTTTGCGTGTGCTAGCGGGCCGGGGCTAGCAGATGGATCTTCGTGGTCTTCGCAACGGGAAGCCTGTTGAAACCACAGACGATTACGTCGGCAGACCAGTCGTGATGGATCGGCGGGGCTCCGTGTCGACTCTAGGAGGTCCCGTCTGGTTGACAGAGAGGTAGATAGCCGGGAGATGGGCCTGACTCGAGGCTAGCTCAAGGCTGATTAGCCAACAACAACATTAATTTGGTTGCAGCTAGCTAGTTGCGATGATCAGGAGTTAAAGGTCCAGTGATTCAGTGATTCCGGCAGAAAAACCGATAGGTCGATAACGCGCTGTGCAGACAGTGCAGACTGGCCGATAATAGTCCAGGCTAGAGCTGGCTGGTAGGTAGTGCAGGCCACGGACAATGGTGAAAAACCGCTAATGGTGGCTAATAGCAAGTAGCTAGTTAGCTGGCTACTCCCGTCCGGTAGACAGAGAGGTAGATAGCCGGGATATGGGCCTGGCTCGAGGCTAGCTCAAGGCTAACTGGTGCTTGCTTCGGGGAAAGTGGTGATATGCCAACAGCAATGTCCATTCGGTTGCGGCTAGCTAGTTGCGATCCAGTGTTAATGTCCAGTGATTCAGTTATTCCGGCAGAAAATCCAATGTTCTGGGTGAAAACCGCTAACGGTGGCTAATAGCAAGTAGCTAGTTAGCTGGCTAGCTAGTTTCAACTGGAGATTCTAGATAAAAGGTAAGTCAATAATAGAATCCATTCCACATTGAGTGAGGCGGGTTGCAGGAAAGTATATTTAGTAGAAGGAGGAAAAGTGTGATAGGAAAATATGTACGAAAAATATAAAAAATACAATAATTTACACGGACACACACAGAGTACACGACCGCACTGCTACGCCATCTTAGATCTATTATGTATTATGTGTATGTACATATCTTTGTTAGAAAGAATATTATATTTCCCTTAACGGAGTGATGCTGAATGAAAAGGATGGCTCAACCTTCCCCACTCTACCCTATTGAAACCACTCAAACATGTCTTCCTAGTCCTGAGAGAGAGTGAACTCCAGGTTCTTTGGGTTAAAAGTGATTTTGTTAGTGGATCTACCTGTATTCTGTGAGCTACAGGATGCAACTAGGCCAGGTTTTAATTCCCATTTTGCCCTGTAGTTAACCTCCATTCCCTACCCGGTACACACAGATGCAAATCCGACCTGAATAAGGATGTCTTCAAAGCAAAGCAGAGAAATAAAATGATAAGAATAGAATAGAACAGTCAGAAAACGCCCCCACAGGAATTGGAGCTTAGCAGCTTCTAAGAATCTTTCATATTGAAATGTTCCGGCTGTTCTGTGATTCAATAGCTCAGTGTGAAGCGACGGTCAATTTTCCAAATTCACATTCAACAATATTCACAACTGGCCCCGAGCCCTGTTCGCTTTTCTATCATTTCTCCATTTCCTTTCCTTTCCTTTTCTTCCCCCTTCTCTGCTTCTGGTCACAGTGATTCTTCTCTCTGTATTTCACACACGTCTGATGGGATGTTTTCGTCTCCCTCCCTTTTCTCCCAGCTGTGGAAAAAAGAGAGGGAGGAAGGGAGCATGTGTGACTTACTGCCACGATCACCATGCCAGCAAGGAGAGAGGGCCGAGAAATGGCCAGAAAGATGCAAAGGTCTTTTGTTTTTGGGACTTGGGGGTGACATTGTCAAAGCATGTCAGCTGTCTTGGCCAGTAGTTCATCTGTACAAGGAGATTAGGAGTGTGTATAGAAGTCCCCACTTCTTTTAAGTGCCCAGCCAGGGATTCAAACTAGCAACACTCCAGCTACAGTTCTGCAGCTCTAACCTCTAGCCTACATACCACCCCCATCTCCAAAGTATCCCAAAACATCGCAAATATCAAATTCCCAAAACACCTGACTGCCTAATGCTGTACGTACAATCAGGGACTTGACGTCACAAGTTACCAATGTCCTAGCTGACCCGGGTGTACATATAGAGGAATTCTCTGTGAAATAGAGTGTTAGTCCATTACATAACTAACTGTCATCTTCAGAAGCGTTGAGCTGTTGTTGTTTTGAGATGCTAATATATAGCTGTCAGGGAGCTGATTTACTCTCATCCTGTGTCTTAACACTCACACACACACACACACACACACACACACACACACACACACACACACACACACACACACACACACACACACACACACACACACACACACACACACACACACACACACACACACACACACACACACACACACAGGTGAGGGAGTCTGTGTGGTGCAAACAGGTGTTACATATAGCAGCAGGAGGGAATGCAGCCAAGAGTCAGACTGCCCTAAAATGAATCAGAATGAGGTGAAATTTCACAATCATTGTAGGCAACCTTTCAAGGACTTTGCTTCTTCAAAAGTGTTTGTGCTAGCAGGAGTGTCTTCAGAAGTGTGTGTTTTCAGAGGTGTGTTTTGCCTCTCCTAGCTTCTCTGTGTCTCTGGATGGGGACGACATTTGTTGGTGAACACTGAGAAGCTCTGCCACAGGTTTCACAATCACAACTCTGTTTCTTCTAACCAGTCTTCTCCTCAGGATTATCTTGAGTCGACTGTGAAAGGCTATTTGGCAATAAATCACATAGTTTCTTATTACATCCGTTATTAATGTGTGACTGTGTTTGTATGATGCTGTATATTTCATTCAACTTGATAGCCTATATAAGACATTTCAGTTGTAGGGTAGAACTGTTTGAGAATGAACACATTTTTTTTTGTCTCTTTCCAAGAATATCTGTGAGTTTTGCAATGAAATACAGAACTTCTGAGGTCAAGTTTGAATTTGTTTGAGAGAGAAACAGGGGGAGAGAGAGAAAGAGACGTGGCTATTTACCTGTCTGTGTGTGGCAGAAAACCCTGCTCTCTGATTGGTGGAGAGAGGGCAGGTACAGTTTGCTGAAGGCCCGTTTTCAGGATTCCAGCAACACTGAGTCACATGGGCTGATCGCTATCTCAAACACACACACACACACATACACACAAAGACAGCAGACAGTACTGTATGATTGCACAAACACAACCCCCACAGCTCCCCCTCCCCCGTCCCTCCTCTCGGTCCCTCCCTCCTCCCTCTCTCTCTCTATTTCTCTCTCTCTCTCTCTCTGTCTCTCAAACACACACGTGTGCTCAGCAACAGAGGAAGGCTCTTACGTCTACGCAGTACAGCTCTACTTAGAGAGAGGGAACGAGAGAGGGAACAGCCGAGCGAGAGAACAAGAGAGCCAGGCAGAGCGAGAGAGAGAGAGAGAGAGAGAGAGAGAAAGAGGGAACGAGGGAACGAGGGAGAGAGAGATAAGGAGGGCAGTAGCTACAGTGGATTCCCTGTCAGCTTCATCTCCAGCCCTCGAAATTGTCATCATCTGCTCCATTATTTAATCAGCACAAGTGCTGCTCTCGCACTCCTCTTTCTTCTCCAGCGATCTGCTCGTAAAAAAAACAATATCTGACCACCGTTGGATTTAAGCGAGTGTGTGTGTGAGAGAGTGTGTGTGAGAGTGTGTCACTTATCACTGGACTGCTGGACGAAAATGGATATTTCCCCTACAGTGGGATGTGGGTGTTGTTCCAGGGATGTTATATGGTAGTGCTGACTGAGCCAGCTAAAGCCACAGCTACCACTAGAGGAAAGGGCAAACTGCCCCTCTTTACTTACTATAGGTGTGGAGCCTTGTTATATTAGATCTCTTGCGTTTTTTCAAATATGTGATTTCTTTGTTTATTTTGATCCCGATCTTTATTCTTTCTCTCTTTTTTTCCCTCTTCCTCCCATCCAGACGAGAAGGAGGAAGGAGTGTTGGGAAGTCTTCCTCTGCTCAGCTTTCGGATCGGAGAAGTGCAGGCGTTGGATAACATCAGCCGCAAGCACGCCTTTAAGGTCAGTACCCTCTAGGACTAAGTATGATGATGATGATGATGAGGATGATGATGACAATGATGATGATGAGGATGATGATGAAGCCATGTTATGATGATAAAGCAATGTTTTTTTGGACTTCTTGAGCTTCCAAGAGGTGGGGGATAACATTTGGGGCAGGTGGTCAGTGAGGTGAGAGGGGGAATGACCTTTAGGAAAGTGGTTGGTTTGAGAGGATACAAGTACAAGTACAATGAGTACTGAGTGTACAAAACATTAGGAACACCTGCTCTTTCCATGACATAGACTGAGCAGGTGAATCCAGGTGAAAGCCATGATCCCTTATTAATGTCACCTGTTAAATCCACTCCAATCAGTTTAGATAAAGGGGAGGAGACATGTTAAAGAAGGATTTTTAAGCCTTGAGACAATTGAGACATTGATTGTGTATGTGTGCCATTCGGTGGGTGAATGGGCAAGACAAAATACTTAAGTGCCTTTGAACGGGGTATGGTAGTAGGTGCCAGGCGCACCGGTTTGAGTGTGTCAAGAACTGCAATGCTGCTGGGCTTTTCACGCTCAACATTTTCCCTTGTTTATCAAGAATGGTCCACCACCCAAAGGACATCCAGCCAACTTGACACAACTTTTTTTTTGGGGGGGGGGTTTAAATGCTGGGCAGACACGTGATCGTCACTCATACAGCCCAGTGACAAGCAGTGACATTGGGGGACAATGGGGGATAATAGGGAATAAGCAGAGATGTCTGGCAGCATTTCAAAACCAAACCCCTATATTTACTCTGTGTTTGTGTGTGTGCGCGCGCCCGTGTGTGCATGTGTTTGTGTGTGAGAGAGAGAGAGTATGAGTGTGTGTTTGCTCACACTGTACTTTGCACCGAAGTGCTCATGAATAAACAGAATGCTGAGAGAGAGGGAGACACACACAGACAGCATGAGAGGGAGACACAGAGAGAAAGAGAGAAGGAGTGATAGAGAAAGAGAAAGGGAAGGAGAGAGAGAGTCCTGTCACAGTATATTCCTCTCTGGTCTTCCAGGCAGTAGCTGAGGGATGGTCAGAGGGAGAGAGGAGGGAACAGTCTTACATAAACCCCTACCCAGCACCACCACACCATATTAGCATGATATATAATATCATGTTCATTCATATGATTTATTTATCACAGCCAATGCATATTAATCACCATCTCAGAATGTGGCGCTGCAGTACCATCTAAAAGCTATTTCCCAACATAGTCCCTGTCAGTAGTAGTATGTCACTAATCAAAAAATCCTGTCTAGTCCCATAAACAAAAATTATTCCAGATTTATCACCATAAAAGTGCAATCACTGTCAAGCTAGAACGCATCTTTGGTTTTCCAAACACACTGTCTGTTTCAGAAAAGGTGATGCAATACCGTTTTGTAATATTCTACAGTTAGTCAAATCTCTTCTTAAAATATTCGGATTACGTGGTCTCATTTGGGTTCGGTGGTTAAGACAATGTACGGGTTGTACAGTATGTGTGTTGCAGTGTTTCTTTGTTGATAGAGTTGCTGTGTGCCATTGGTTGTAGCCCCAGTGTCTCTGTGTGTCGGTGTTGATACGAGACCTGTTGTGACAGCCACGGTGACATGGCATTTGCCTGACAGTTCTACGAAGCAGTAGACTATATACTGTAGACCAGCAGCTAGAGGGTTCAGCTTGTTACACTGGCTCCTCTGTAGACTTTCATATGTCTGTGTGCATGCTTTTAAAGGCAAATAGCAGTAGAAGAAGAAGACACAGGCAAAATAAAGAAATTAACCTTTTCACACATGAGTTCCAAATATCTCTAAACGGTCGCCCCAGCGTGAGTTGTTTTATGCACATGATGTCAGAATGCGCTCACTGTTCCAAAATGGGATTGTTACGCAACAGAAAAGGTTAAACACCAGTAAATGTTTCAATGATATGTGTCCAAAAGCCTTTCAGGTACAGTACAGGAGAGACTTAATGTTCTTACTTATTGACACAGTATTCTAGGTAGCCTATTCAGCTGTGTTGTTATGGTGGTGGTGGTGCTGGCTAGTAAAAGGTTATTTGTCTCCTTCCCGCCATGCTGTTATCCTGCTGCTTGGTGTTGATTGTACAGGGAGGCAGTGTGAGTGTGAGACAATATGAGTCATGAGGATGGAGCAGAGCAGCCAGTGGTTTGTAGAGAACTTTAGCCTTCCAGGTATTTACAGTGTGGACTGGAACTGTAAGTGCTGCGTAGGTTATGGTGTTATGGTGTTATAACACTGAAGCTTCAGGATCTAGCAATCTCTGCTGAAACAATGTCAACCAAGTACAGTGAGGGAAAAAAGTATTTGATCCCCTGCTGATTTCGTACGTTTGTCCACTGACAAAGAAATGATTTGTCTATCATTTTAATGGTAGGTTTATTTGAACAGTGAGAGACAGAATAACAACAAAAAAATCCAGAAAAACGTATGTCAAAAATGTTATGAATTGATTTGCATTTTAATGAGGGAAATAAGTATTTGACCCCCTCTCAATCAGAAAGATTTCTAGCTCCCAGGTGTCTTTTATACAAGTAAAGAGCTGAGATTAGGAGCACACTCTTAAAGGGAGTGCTCCTAATCTCAACTTGTTACCTGTATAAAAGACACCTGTCCACAGAAGCAATCAATCAATCAGATTCCAAACTCTCCACCATGGCCAAGACCAAAGAGCTCTCCAAGGATGTCAGGGTCAAGATTGTAGACCTACACAAGGCTGGAATGGGCTACAAGACCATCGCCAAGCAGCTTGGTGAGAAGGTGACAACAGTTGGTGCGATTATTCACAAATGGAAGAAACACAACAGAACTGTCAATCTCCCTCAGCCTGGGGCTCCATGCAAGATCTCACCTCGTGGAGTTGCAATGATCATGAGAACGGTGAGGAATCAGCCCAGAACTACACGGGAGGATCTTGTCAATGATCTCAAGGCAGCTGGGACCATAGTCACCAAGAAAACAATTGGTAACACACTACGCCGTGAAGGACTGAAATCCTGCAGCATGGTCCCCCTGCTCAAGAAAGCACATATACAGGCCCGTCTGAAGTTTGCCAATGAACATCTGAATGATTCAGAGGAGAACTGGGTGAAAGTGTTGTGGTCAGATGAGACCAAAATCGAGCTCTTTGGCATCAACTCAACTCGCCGTGTTAGGAGGAGGAGGAACACCATCCCCACCGTCAAACATGGAGGTGGAAACATTATGCTTTGGGGGTGTTTTTCTGCCAAGGGGACAGGACAACTTCACCGCATCAAAGGGACGATGGACGTGGCAATGTACTGTCAAATCTTGGGTGAGAACCTCCTTCCCTCAGCCAGGGCATTGAAAATGGGTCGTGGATGGGTATTCCAGCATGACAATGACCCAAAACACACGGCCAAGGCAACAAAGGAGTGGCTCAAGAAGAAGCACATTAAGGTCCTGGAGTGGCCTAGCCAGTCTCCAGACCTTAATCCCATAGAAAATATGTGGAGGGAGCTGAAGGTTCGAGTTGCCAAACGTCAGGCTTGAAACCTTAATGACTTGGAGAAGATCTGCAAAGAGGAGTGGAACAAAATCCCTCCTGAGAAGTGTGCAAACCTGGTGGCCAACTACAAGAAACGTCTGACCTCTGTGATTGCCAACAAGGGTTTTGCCACCAAGTACTAAGTAATGTTTTGCAGAGGGGTCAAATACTTATTTCCCTCATTAAAATGCAAATCAATTCATAACATTTTTGACATGCATTTTTCTGGATTTTTTGTTGTTATTTCGTCTCTGACTGTTCAAATAAACCTACCATTAAAATTATAGACTGATCATGTCTTTGTCAGTGGGCAAATGTACAAAATCAGCAGGGGATCAAATACTTTTTTCCCTCACTGTACATTGTTTTCGATGTTGTAGACCTTTGTGCTTAATTGTTTAGTTTTGTAGATAGTAGACAGTACTTGGGGTTAATATACTGTGTGGCACAATTTCTACTTACATGTATAGGAGTGTGTAGCCATGTATGTAGGTCTAAGTGTTGTGTAGGAGACAGACAGACAGTACAGGTATGTCATGGTGTTTACGTGTTCTCAGTACTAATACAGGGTGGTGAACTGGTCTGATTTGGTCTGGCTGTTGTTAGTTGAGGTAAGTGGAGGGAGGGGAGCTTTTGTTTCTGGCCTAGTGGGGCCCCTCGGGGCTGAGGAGGAGAGGAGACAGGATGGGATGGAAGTCGAGTTTGAGCACGATCCTGGAGACTCGGCTGGGATTCCTGTAGAACCCCTTCTTTATGACACCTGTAATTTCAAACTGACCAATGAGAGAGAGGTAGGGTGCGGGGGAGAGGGAGAGGGAGAGGGGGAGGGAGTGAAGACTCTAACCTACATTTTTGCCTTTGATTATAAGATTACCTTTCAGAGGTGGACTGGTTTGACTTGACTTTTCAGTACCGACACCCTTTTTTTTTTTTTTCATGAAGGCGTGAATGCTTCATTAAATGCTTAACGGAAATTGTGTAAGTTCTAAAACTTTGGATATGAGCCAGGACTGCAAGGACTGTTGTTTTGCTGCGAGCTCCAAACAGAGAGAGCTGCCTGGGTCTGCTGTTCCAACCTGACCGTACCTGCAGGTTCACTAAGTACAGGCTGAGGTAACAAAAACAGAGGTGTGGTTGGAACCTGGAATAGACCTTATTTATGATCGGGGTCACCCAGCCGTTACAACACTATCTACAGTATCTTGGTCCAACCCTATCTGACCACACTTGGTTCAACCCTGCATGGTTTAGACATGTAAAAGGCTATAATGTCTAACAGACGCCTCTCAGCTCACAGCATTTTTCAAAGCAGCCTTTTCCCTCCCGTGGATTGAAGTAAATTATTAAACGAGAACACTTGGCCCGGGTGTGGTGTGGTGTGTTGTACGGTGTGTATGACTGGTTTACTAGCGTCTTAAGACTGAGTTACAGCTAGATGTGTGTGTGTGTGGTGTGTGTGTGTGTGTGTGTGTGTGTGTGTCTGTGTGTGTGTGTGTGTGTGTGTGAGAGACCATACGTGTACACCCCCAGGGAGTGCACTAGTTATTAAACCCCCTGTTGAGAGTAAATGTCATGGTCCATACCACCTTCACTCAGAGGGGTGTCACCTGAGTGTAAGAGAGGGAGAGAGAGAGAGAGAGAGAGAGAGAGAGAGAGAGAGAGAGAGAGAGAGAGAGAGAGAGAGAAGAGAGAGAGAGAGAGAGAGAGAGAGAGAGAGACAGAGAGAGAGAGAGAGAGAGAGAGAGAGAGATTTACATTTACAATGCCTTCAGAAAATATTCACACCCCTTTACTTTTTCCACGTTTTGTTGTGCTACAGCCTGAATTTAAAATGGCTTAAATTGAAATGTTGTGTCACTGATCTACACACAATACCCCATAATGTCAAAGTGGAATTTTGTTTGTAGAACATTTTTTAAATTAATACAAAATGTAAAGCTGAAATGTCTTGATGTCAATAGGTATTCAACAGAACTGTCAATCTCCCTCAGCCTGGGGCTCCATGCAAGATCTCACCTCGTGGGGTCAAAATGATCACAAGAACGGTGAGCAAAAATCCCAGAACCACACAGGGGGACCTAGTGAATGACCTGCAGAGAACTGGGACCAAAGTAACAAAGCCTACCATCAGTAACACACTACGCCGCCAGGGAGTCAAATCCTGCAGTGCCAGACGTGTCCCCCTGCTTAAGCCAGTACATGTCCAGGCCCGTCTGAAGTTTGCTAGAGTGCATTTGGATGATCCAGAAGAGGATTGGGAGAATGTCATATGGTCAGATGAAACCAAAATATAACTTTTTGGTAAAAACTCAACTCGTCGTGTTTGGAGGACAAAGAATACTGAGTTGCATCCAAAGAACACCATACCTACTGTGAAGAATGGGGGTGGAAACATCATACTTTGGGGCTGTTTTTCTGCAAAGGGACCAGGACGACTGATCCGTGTAAAGGAAAGAATGAATGGGGCCATGTATCGTGAGATTTTGAGTGAAAACCTCCTTCCATCAGCAAGGGCATTGAAGATGAAACGTGGCTGGGTCTTTCAGCATGACAATGATCCCAAACACACCGCCCGGGCAACGAAGGAGTGGCTTCGTAAGAAGCATTTCAAGGTCCTGGAGTGGCCTAGCCAGTCTACAGATCTCAACCCCATAGAAAATCTTTGGAGGGAGTTGAAAGTCTGTGTTGCCCAGCGACAGCCCCAAAACATCACTGCTCTAGAGGAGATCTGCATGGAGGAATGGGCCAAAATACCAGCAACAGTGTGTGAAAACCTTGTGAAGACTTACAGAAAACGTTTGACCTGTGTCACTGCCAACAAAGGGTATATAACAAAGTATTGAGAAACTTTTGTTATTGACCAAATACTTATTTTCCACCATCATTTGCAAATAAATTCATTAAAAAATCCTACAATGTGATTTTCTGGATTTTTTTCTTCTAATTTTGTCTGTCATAGTTGACGTGTACCTATGATGAAAATTACAGGCCTCTCTCATCTTTTTAAGTGGGAGAACTTGCACAATTGGTGGCTGACTAAATACTTTTTTCTCCCACTGTATATATACACTACAGTTCAAAAGTTTGGGGTCACTTAGAAATGTCCTTGTTTTCCATGAAAAAATACATGAAATGAGTTTGAATAGGAAGTATAGCAAAATGAATAGAAAATGTAGTCATTGACAAGGTTAGAAATAATGATTTTTAATTGAAATAATAATTGTGTCCTTCAAACTTTGCTTTCATCAAAGAATCCTCCATTTGCAGCAATTGCAGCCTTGCAGACCTTTGGCATTCTAGTTGTCAATTTGTTGAGGTAATCTGAAGAGATTTCACCCCATGCTTCCTGAAGCATCTCCCACAAGTTGGATTAGCTTGATGGGCACTTCTTACGTACATTACGGTTAAGCTGCTCCCACAACAGCTCAATAGGGTTGAGATCCGGTGAGTGTGCTGGCCACTCCATTATAGACAGAATACCAGCTAACTGCTTCTTCCCTAAATAGTTATTGCATAGTTTGGAGCTGTGCTTTTGGTCATTGTTCTATTGTTGGAGGCTCCAATCAAGCGCGGTCCACAGGGTATAGCATAGCCTTCCTTCTTCAAGATCCCTTTTACCCTGTACAAATCTCCCACTTTACCACCACCAAAACACCCCCAGACCATCACATTGCCTCCACCATGCTTGACAGATGGCATCAAGCACTCCTCCAGCATCTTTTCATTTGGTCTGCGTCTCACAAATGTTCTTCTTTGTGATCCGAACACCTCAGACTTCGATTCGTCTGTCCATACACTTTTTTCCAATCTTCCTCTGTCCAATGTCTGTGTTCTTTTGCCCATCTTAATATTTTTTTTTATTGGCCAGTCTGAGATATGGCTTTTTCTTTGCAACTCTGCCTAGAAGGTCAGCATCCTGGAGTCGCATCTTCACTGTTGACATTGAGACTGGTGTTTTGCGGGTACTATTTAATGAAGCTGCCAGTTGAGGACCTGTGAGGCATCTGTTTCTCAAACTAGACACTCTAATGTATTTGTCCTCTTGCTCAGTTGTGCACCGGGGCCTCCAACTCTTTCTATTCTGGTTAGAGCCAGATTGCGCTGTTCTGTGAAGGGAGTAGTACACAGCGTTGTACGAGATCTTCAGTTTCTTGGCAATTTCTCGCATGGAATAGCCTTCATTTCTCAAAACAAGAATAGACGGATGAGTTTCAGAAGAAAGTTATTTGTTTCTGGCCATTTTGAGCTTATAATCGAACCCACAATTGCTGATGCTCCAGATACTCAACTAGTCTCAAGAAGGCCAGTTTTATTGCTTCTTTAATCAGCACAACAGTTTTCAGCTGTGCTAACATAATTGCAAAAGGGTTTTCTAATGATCAATTAGCCTTTTAAAATGATAAACTTGGATTAGCAAACACAACGTGCCATTGGAACACAGGACTGATGGTTGCTGATAATGGGCCTCTGTACACCTATGTAGATATTCCATTAAAAATCAGCCGTTTCCAGCTACAATAGCCATTTACAACATTAACAATGTCAACACTGTATTTCTGATGAATTTGATGTTATTTTAATGGACAAAAAAAATTGTTTTCTAGAGAAAACAAGCACATTCCTAAGTGACCCCAAACGTTTGAACGGTAGTGTATATACACTACCAGTCAAAATTTTGGACACACCTACTCATTCAAGGGTTTTTCTTTATTTTTACTATGTTTTACATTGTAGAATAATAGTGAAGACATCAAAACTATGAAATAACACATATGGAATCATGTAGTAACCAAAAAATTGTTAAACAAATGAAAATGTATTTTATGTTTGAGATTCTTCAAATAGCCACCCTTTGCCTTGATGACAGCTTTGCACACTCTTGGCATTCTCTCAATCAGCTTCATGGGGTAGTCACCTGGAATATATTTAAATTAGCAGCTGTGCCTTCTTAAAATTTAATTTGTGGAATTTCTTTCCTTCATAATGCGTTTGAGCCAATCAGTTGTGTTGTGACAAGGTAGGGGGGTATACAGAAGATAGCCCTATTTGGTAAGTCCATATTAGGGCAAGAACAGCTCAAATTAGCAAAGAGAAACGACAGTCCATCATTACTTTAAGACATGAAGGTCAGTCAATATGGAACATTTGAATCATTTTGAAAGTTTCTTCAAGTGCAGTCGCAAAAACCATCAAGCGCTATGATGAAACTGGCTCTCATGAGGACCCCCACAGGAATGGAAGTCCCAGAGTTACCTCTGCTGCAGAGGATAAGTTCATTAGAGTTACCAGCCTCAGAAATTGCAGCCCAAATAAATGCTTCACAGAGTTCAAGTTACAGAGACATCTTAACATCAACTCTTCAGAGGGGACTGTGTGAATCAGGCCTTCATGGTTGAATTGCTGCAAAGAAACCACTACTAAAGGACACCAATAATAAGAAGAGACCTGCTTGGGCCAAGAAACACGAGCAATGGACATTAGACCGGTGGAAATTTGTCCTTTGGTCTGGAATCCAAATTAGAGATTTTTGGTTCCAACCGCTGTGTCTTTGTGAGACGCAGTGTGGGTGAACAGATGATCTCCGCATGTGTAGTTCCCACCGTAAAGCATGGAGGAGGAGGTGTTATGGAGTGGGGGTGCCTCGCTGGTGACACTGTCTGTGATTTATTTAGGATTCAAGGCACACTTAACCAGCATGGCTACCAGAGCATTCTGCAGCGATACGCCATCCCATCTGGTTTGGGCTTAGTGGGACTGTTTTTCAACAGAACAATGACCCAACACACCTCCAGGGTGTGTAAGGGCTATTTTACCAATAAGGAGAGTGATGGAGTGCTGCATCAGATGACCTGGCCTCCACAATCCCCCGACCTCAACCCAATTGAGATGGTTTGGGATGAGTCGGACGGCAGAGTGAAGGAAAAGCAGACAACAAGTGCTCAGCATATGTGGGAACTCCTTCAAGACTGTTCGAAAAACATTCCAGGTGAAGCTGGTTGAGAGAATGCCAAGAGTGTGCAAAGCTCTCATCAAGGCAAAAGTTGGCTGTTTGAAGATTCTCAAATATAAAATATGTTTTGATTTGCTTAACACTTTTTTTTGTTAGTACATGATTCCGTATGTGTTATTTCATAGTTTTGATGTCTTCACAATTATTCTACAATGTAGGTAATAGTAAAAATAAAGAAAAACCCTTGAATGAGTAGGTGTGTCCAAACTTTTGACTGGTACTGTATATATATATATATATATATATATATATATATATATATATATATATATATATTCCCCTTTTTCTAATCACCATTACTATTATTTATTTTCTACTTTTATTGTTGATGTTATCATCTCAGTGGCCTTGTCATTCATGCTACTAAAGCTTATCTGTCAGAGAGAGAGAGAGAGAGAGAGAGAGAGAGAGAGAGAGAGAGAGAGAGAGAGAGAGAGAGAGAGAGAGAGAGAGAGAGAGAGAGAGAGAGAGAGAGAGAGAGAGAGAGAGAGAGAGAGAGAGAGAGAGAGAACCTGTGTTGAAGTAAGGCCTTTTATGCTTACCTCTTCAAAGTGATCAGATCAAGTTACAGTACATGCTAACTGGTGTAGCTGTATCA